ACTTTTCAGCTACTTAAATGTCTCTAAAATACATTCATCACTTATGCTACAAAGCAAATCTTTTTCAAATATACACAACAATCATTCATAAATTTGTCACCCAACCAATTTCGAAGATCGTTCTTTCTTATCTTCATAGCTGAAAATGCTCTTTCGCAGCTTGCATTTCAACATATAAAGTCATATCAACTTCAAAAGCAAGTATTTTTTTTCCGGTAATTAGTGGTTTCCATTAAAGCTCACTCGATGCAAACAGCATGAGTCGAAAAAATACAAGACAACAAAGAACTGCCAACAACAAACTCCCTCAGAAAATAGAAACTAGCTATTGGGGAGAGATAACCCTATACAGCTCTGGAATTCTCTATATCAAAGACTGGAACTCTATGTTACCATTGCTAAACAAACACATTTCCTCCCTTGTAAGCGAGGCCAGCAACTCAGGTTGTTTCATAGTAGTCCCAAATATCCTGTTGCAACGTTCACGCCAGATGGATGCAATAGTCCAACACTAAATGGAACACTCCAGCACACTCATGTTGTCATTTTTAGCAGCTTTGCGCGACATTACCAGCATCATATCATCCCATTTAGCAGGCAGGTGAATGGTAGTTCTGAATAGAGAGGAAAGATAAGCCAAAGTAAAGGTGCACTCACAGAATAAATGCTCCCTCGACTCACTGGATGAGTTGGAGAGAGGGCAACTATCATCCACAGTAACGCCCCACGCTTTAAGCTTGTCTCTCGTGGGAATGCGGTTAATTATGATGAGCCAAGCCAAGATTCTGGTGAGTCTCGACAGTGGTCGCTTGGGCTTTGGTGATTTTTTTTATTTTTCCATTAACGAAAGGATCAATCCCAGCACAAATGTATATTGGTATGGCTTGTGGGGTTTTTTAATAGCAATTGATATGATTATGAGTTATTTTAAACAAATTAAAAATGAATTTTGTTAATTAGGATTTAAGATTGAATCATTTAAATAATAAAATTCTTGCAGTCTAATGAAGGTGTGTCGGCTATAATTATCAAAGGGTTGTCTGAAGTCCCGAACTTAAAACTTTTGTACCTAAAATATGTAGGTCCTTCACAAAATTCTCGGTCGAGGGTGTGTCGGACCCTCCCTTGCTTTAGGTCCACCACTGATTGTGCTTTCTTGGAAGATTCATCATGGAATCATCAACTCTCCATTCTAAATAGTAAATACCATTTACTCAAAGTACGACCACGCCCAGTTGTCTCAGTCTTTCTCCAAGTCTCTCAAGCTCGTGTCCACACTAAACCGTGTTGATATCTCAACTAAATTTTTTTATACTTTCAGCCAGTTCAGATTTCGGTCCACTTCTCCCCCAGCCACTTAACCTCAACTGCCATGGCTGACAGTTAACTTTGGTCCGACCTTGACATACATATCTATCGCTAGTGCTAGTATGCGTCTTAAATAGAATACACCTACATTCGTATTTATTGATTCTTATTTTTGACAAATTGGAATTGCCATTTATTAATTCTTAATTAAACTGATTTTATGATTTTATTTTATAGAATTATGGACTACGATTCAGGGTCCGGATCCCATGACTGGGGGGAGCGCTTAGTTATGACTAAGCCCCTCCCAGCCCTTAGATCTTGACACACCAGTCTGACGGTTAAAATGTAGGAAGAGCTTTTTAATTAATGACAGGGGTAGTTTGTGTATTATGAAAAATTACGAAGTATACAAACCGGACTTACAAACAGTACAAACAATACAAACATACAAACATTACAAACTAAAACAACAAAATATACAAATAGATTTACAAATAATACTAAACATATAAACTATACAAACAATACAAACTAGACCGACAAACCATACAAAATGAAAAAAACAACCGGGTTGACTTTGGAGGCTCCATCCCTATATAGAGGGTTCCATCCCAAAGTCAATCCGATTGTTTTTTTTTTTGCATACAAACATTACAAACATGGTAGGAAAAAATGACATACTAGACTGACAAAGGATAAAATACCTCGGGTTTCACTTAAGTTTGAAAATTACGGTAGGCATATCACTTAAGTTTGAATAGGGCATCGGATATCATTGAACTCTATTATATGTGCACCCGGTACCATTTAAGTTGACTCTTAAGTGCATTCCGTTAAAGTTGACAGAATATTCTTGGAATATTCCTTTTTCTAAATTTCATAATTGGTCATTCTACTTTTCTTATTATAAAAAAATCATTTGGACTTATGTAAAATATTATTTTTTATTGTTTAGTTAGAATCCTTTTTTGAATACATGATACATAACCAATTTTTGAATAGAAATTTTAGATCAATTATCATTATAATTATTTTTAATAATTGAATTATTCCATGAATGTTGTAGCTAAACAATGTTGTAGCTTTTATAGTCATATTTTATTTTCTATATTTTTTATCGAATATTGTAGCTTTTATATTTTGTTTATTACTTGGTTACTTTTCACCTCTTTTCGTTCTTACTTTTTTCAATTAGTGAAATATGTTTAATTCTTTCTGATTGTGTTCTATTTATCCTTTTTTTTTATTTTGATGTATTGATGATTGATTTAGTTCTATTTTAACTATTTTTTAGGTGAAACTATTTTAACTATTTCTAATGGTGCTTCTAATTGAATTACAGGATTTAAATAGATATGATAATATTTATTATTATATTCTAACATATATATTATTCTTCTTGATATTCGTTTACTATTTTTACTAATTTATCTATTTTATTGAAACATTTTGATTATTCATTCTAGTAATAATATGTTTACCAGGTTTTCTAATATTTATATTATATAAAATTTGTTGAAATATAGTTTTGGATGATTTTAAAAGTTTTGGGTGTCAAAGAGTAATTAAAAGTTTAAGTTGGATGGAAAAGTAGACGGATGCACATTTTTTGGCAACTTTAATGGTACTCGACGCCCTATTCAAACTTAAGTGGTATGTTTATCCCAATTCTCAAACTTAAGTGGCACCCGAGGTATTTTACCCACTAACAAACCATACAAAATGGAAAAAACCCCGGGTTGACTTTGGATGCTCCATCTCTATATAGAAGAGTTTCATCCAAAAGTCAACCATGTTATTTTTTAGGCATAAAAAACATAACAAACATGGGTGACAAAAATGACAAACATGGTGGACAAAAATAACAAAGGTTACAAACATTACAAAAGAAACCGACAAACATTACAAAATAACAAAGTTTACAAACATTATAAAAGAAACGAACGAATAGTACAAAGCATACTAACCGTACAAAATAGTCATATAAACATTACAAATATAATAGAAAAAAGTGACAAACAATACAAACCGAGTTGTTTGTAAACATTACAAACCAGACTTACAAATATTACAAAATAGAAAGAAAAACATTACAAAACTACCGCTATCGTCGGAAAAAGCTTGTCGCGGCCGGAAATTCTCTCCGACGTCGGGAAATTCTTGCCGATGCCGCAAAAGCTCTCTCTCTCTCTCTCTGCACAAAAAATCTCTACAAAAGCTTGGGGCAAAAATCTCCAAGAAAGGGACATCGGGGAGGGGGAAAATTCTCAGGCGGTCCGTTGACGGGAGTTGTCGGGAAACAGACGGCCGGCGAAAGCGTGGAAGGGTCAACTGTCAACAACCCACTTTTTATTTTATTTTAATTTTAAATAAATAATTTGTGTAATTACCATCTTTCATTAAATGAAATTAATATGAACTATTAGATTTAAATGAGGTTGAAGGGTGGAGATTCACTTAGTTATGTGACTAAGGGACCCCATTTTAGTCACCTGATCATAACCCCTACGATTCACCCATTAAAAATTATTGTATGATATCAGGGCTAAGATCAGGTGACTAAATGGGTCCCCTTAGTCATATGACTAAGTACATCTCATCCATACAACCTCATTTAAATCTAATGATTTTAAATAATACAATTTAACGAATGATAGAGTGGTAATTTCATATTTTACTTATTTAACACTTAAAAAACAATCCTCCCTCCCGCATTCCTCCGCCTTCTGTCGGGCCGGTCACGGATTCCTCCAGCGTTCCTCCGCCAGCCAGGTTTTTTTGCTGGCTTCGCTTCCTCCATGGACCTGGGAAAAATTCTCAAAGAGTGGCCTATGATTTTTTGTTCCCCGTATAGATAGAGAGAAAGAGAGGATTTTTTTGGGATGGGGAATTTTCCGACAACAACGTTTGTTTTGTTATGTTTGTCGGACGATTTTATAATGTTTGTAAATATGTTTTGTGATTTTGTATCAATTTGGTTTGTATCGTTTATCATTTTTATCTATTATGTTTGTAATCTTTATATGACTAATTTGTATACACTGTAATTTGTAATGTTTGTTTGTCTAGTTTGTATACTTTTATGTTGTGATTTGTATACTTTGTATTCATTGTTTTGTAATACAAATTTACTGTTTTGTATTGTAAGTAGTGGCATTTTGTACTGTTAGTATGTTTTGTAATGTTTGTCGGTGTAGTTTGTATTGTTTGTATAGTTCGTATGTTTCGTATTGTTTATATATTTTGTTGCCTTAGTTTGTATTGTTCGTATGGTTTGTACTGTTTGTAAATCCGGTTTGTATATTTCGTAATTTTCCATAATACCAAACTACTCCTGTCATTAATTAAAAAGTCTTTCCCACTTTTGAACCGTCAGATTGGTGTGTACCAATCTAAGGACTGGGAGTGGCTTAATCACTTGACTAAGCAACCCCTTAGTTACCAAATCCTTCCTCTATCATATCATGCTCCAAACTCAAATCAATTCATGATCTAAATACCAAAACTTAAGTAGTTGTACAATACTATTAGGTGCATTACTTCAAGTGATTCACGGCAGTATACTTGGTAAATCAGAGTTATATATTTTATTAAATTAATCTTTGAGTTCGAGTTTGAGAATCGGGCCTGGGATTTTTGTTCTTGCATGTGACTCAGTGTTCTCCATACATGCCGTGCCAAAAATAGATACACGCCAACCACCTTAATTGATCTCAACTCGAACTCCTAAGCTCTCATTGACATTTGATAAATACTCTGTACAAACACAAACCCCGCCACCTTCGCTACACAAGATGCCATTTTCCCCGTGTACATTTTCTTCTTTGTTTCTTATAAAAAAGCCACCTAATTTCCCCCATTTTTTACAGAAACCAACCCCTCCCTCCCGTCTTTTAACTCGTTACACCCGGGCTCATCCTCTCAAATACTCTCACATCCCATCCTTGCTTGCCATTTAAGCAACAGGAGTCTCGTAAAGAGGTCCTCTGCAACTGCAACTGCAACTCGAACTGGAAAATAGAAGATGCCCCGCTTCTGATTTGAGCATCCTCAGTATGAACATCTTCCAGAAAAGAGGAACAATGACGTGATTTTCTTTTCATCGCCAAATTCTCCATTCGGTCTTCTAGACGCGCCGAGAGTTGCGATGACCAGAAGGACTCGGCAGATTTGTTGACCCCATGCTTGCGGTTCTTAGAAGTTTGCGGAACTCTGAAAGGCTTATTTTGCCGTCTCTATCAATATCTGCCTCCTCAAGGAGCGGGTCAATTGAACCCCTTAATCCGGTATGCTGCAACAATAAACCCAAATCATTTCCAGCACTCTTTCCCTCTTAAAATCTCTTTCGGTATTTTCTATTAGTTACTTGGTATGTCTTACCATTCTAAGCTCATCAGGGGTTATATAGCCATCTCCATCAATGTCAAATTTGTCAAAAGCAGCCTGGGAACGTTCTTCCCACTTCTCAGAATTGTGTTCTTGCAACTGATGCACGTGCAGAGCAGCTGCAACAAACTCTGAGAAATCAACAAGCCCGTCCGTGTTACAATCAATCTGCACCCACAAGGTTATTAAAGAAATTAGGCTAGGGGAATCAGTTTCTCCATAAGTTAATAACTACCATGTTCTCGGGTGCTTGTAAGCAAGACACCCTACTAGGAAAACAATGAACACAAACAAAAGTGCTACATCGATTCACTGAGGGAACCCACTAAATATACTCTGAAGTGGAACTGTGGAAGGGAGAGAAACAGGCTTACTGCTTGAAGAATTTCTAGAACACGCGACTCTTTCAGCTTCCAGGGTAGATCCTTAGCAAGTGCCTGCATGTATGAGGGTCCCATATGATCAGTTGCCAAGTACTTAGAAAAGCAACACATAGCACTGTCAAGGGTTTAACACATAGACTTGATACCCACCTGCCTCATCTCTTCAAGACTGATAGACCCATTTTTATCTACATCAATTGCATCAAATTGGTCCTTAAGGTCAGCCAGCTCCTCTTCACCAAGTGTGCTAGCCAATGCCTGCAATGGGATAAGCATAATATTAGAAAGAGGGAAGAAAGTGATAAAACATCATATTCTTGTTAATAGCCGAGAATCGAAAATAGAAGCTTACCCTGAGAGCAAACTGTTTCAAGCGACTGTACTTCACAAATTGCCTCATGTTCTTCAGAACAGATATGTCAATTGGAATCTCAGATGCATCTCCTCCTTCTCGGACCCATGGATGTGCTGTAAGAAGCTAAAAGGCATAAGAACTTCGAGCAAAGCGATTGCATTTGTATACATGGGCAACCGGTTAACTATGTTCACAGATGATTTAGGACATGCATTCACCTAACACTTAACATGTTAATATATCGCTGTTTCTCCACATTTTGGGATAAGATATAGAGATAAGAAAACATACACAAAGCTTGAGCAGCTGTAAGTCTAGCACGCGGATCTTTCACAAGCAACTTCCTAATAAAATCTTTGGCACTGTTGCTTATGGTTGGCCATGGTTTGCGGCGAAAATCAGGTTTGTTTCTTAGGACCTGCAAGATTTAAGCATTAGTGAACTGAACTAATAATACTAGTAAGAGAGATAATGCAGTTAAATAAAGGGCATGGAAACCAAGTGGATTAATATAAAATGGTCCACTGAGTACAACTAAAGTGAATTGAATCATTCAGAGAATATCAGCAGCATGATATTGAGCATTTCTGGGTGAGTAGTAGTGGAGGTGCAGCATCAATTAGCCATAGCTTTAAAAGTTCGGAAACATTAGTATGGTACGTCTTGAGTACAGAACGTCATGTTCATGCTGATGAACTCGTATACTCTCAGAAAATTCTTGTCTTTTGCACATCTGCCTTAAATTACAACACAAGAAAACGGAAAAGCAGAAGGGCCGGTATCAAAATTAAGATCGGTACTGTACCTCCTTAAAAATACCATCTTCGGTCTTATCCCAAAAGGGCCGCCTTCCACAGAGCAAAATATATGTAATGACACCAATGCTCCAGACATCCGATTCAGGTCCAGACTTCCGTTGTAAGACTTCAGGAGCAACATAGTAAGCACTGCCAACAATGTCATGGAACTTCTTTCCTGCAGCAAAATAAAATGTAATAATAATTATGGTTTTTCCAAGATTACTGACTGAGGCCATCAGAAGGGCCTTGGCCTAATAGTGACCTCTTAGCTTGACCGAAACACCACTCACCTGGCTTTATGAAGTCTGACAAACCAAAATCTGTAGCCTTCAGCACTGAGTCCTCTTTGGTTGACTTGAACAGAAAATTCTAGAGGGAAACAACATGGAAAAGAGCCGATAAGAAATTTGACTGTCCATACTACTACATTTCCTTCTCAGAATGCCAATAAAGATGTCATATATGTCAAAATACTGGCTATACCTCAGGTTTCATATCACGGTGGACTAAACCATGTAAATGGCATTCAGCTGCTACTTTAAGCATCTGCCTTACAATAACTGCTGCGTCTTTCTCGGAATAACGGCTGTCCTTTCTGAGAGAAGAGTAGCAAGAAGTCATAAATAAAATGTCAAAAGAAAAACCGTGTTCAACTTTTTCTTTATCAAGACACCAAAACATCAGACCAGGAAAAATCATATAAAAATAATTACTCCAGCGAATTTCTGGAGATCAGATTTCTTACTTGGCCAGTATTCGGTCTAGCAGTTCACCACCTTCACATAACCTAAACAAGTGCAAGGATAGATTAGAGAATCAGAACATGATAGTGAACATACCCAACCAGAGTATAACAGGCTTCTGCTAAGAGAATCAATGGCAAAGAAGTTGTCATGACAAGAAATGCAGAACTTACTCCATAACTATATATACATATGAATCATCCTCAAATGCATTAATAAAGTGGACCACGTTCTCATGCCCTGCAAGTTGCCGCAAAATCTTGACCTCTCTTTTGACGTCTTCAACAGCAACAGGAAGAAGCATCTATCATCAACACAAGGAGTAATGAGAAAAAGAGCATTAAACAAGTATGCTACTTATTAATGAAGACAAAGAAAAGAGGTTATAGCTAGAGTCAAACCCCCATATCTAAATCAACCAAAGCATCAACCACTGTCATTCATCCTTTAGACAGATTCTAGATACTAGTATCTCAAATTCACCCATCAAAAGTTCAACCGTCATATGAAATCCCCAGCGTTTGCTTTACAGCAATTCCTTTGGCCAACAGGAAAAAGGCAGTAGGAGAGAGCTGAAACTGCCAATCCTCAATGCAATGGGCCCCACACAGGAGCTAGTAGAAACAGTTTTCTCTTTTTTCTGCTAAACTTGGATAGGATCTGCGCCCTGAGACTAATCTGATAGAAGACAGCAGAGTCTTCCAAGTAAACAGATAACCTTAACCCAGTCTTTAGGACGGATGCAGTACGGTGGCATGCTAAAGGTGTATATCACAGCAAGGTAGACTGGCTCAAATCGGGAAAGTAAAATGAACTATCTCCAAAGGAACAAACGCCTAATCCCCTATCAAAAGTATCTCTAAAGTGAAGAATCATATCTAAAACAAACACCTAAAGAGGATCTAGTTAGCAATCCAAAATATTGATGATTCAAGTACAAAATTGGAAATATTCCCCGCCCAATTTGACGATCTTAAATCTCAATAGTGACCACAAATTCCCAGTTAGATTTCCCTCAGAAAGCAGGACATATTATTAACTTAATATAAATGGAGTAAGAAACGAAATCTAAGCAAAACCCAGATTCATTAATGACCCATCGAAGCCTCAAAAACTAGAACGAGGAACAAGATCACAACTGTGAAAGAGAAGAAAGCAGAGTGGCACTACCTTGCCTTTGTCAATCCGTTTGACTGCAACACGATCTCCGTTTTCCTTATCAGTAGCAACATACGTGTACCCAAATTGGCCATGACCCAGCAATTTCCCGATCGTGTACCGTTTATTGAATTCCTTATCGTAGCCAAAATCCGTCCGCTTTCCACACGGAATTGCCCCACTGCCCCTCCTCGAACTCTGCTTCCCTTTTAACTTCACTTGTTTCTGCTGTTCCGGCTGCTGTTTTCGGCTCATCCTCTTCTCATTGGTATTATAATGATTGTTGTTGTTGTCCGCTGACGAACTCTTTTTATTGTTTGCCGCCGCCCCTGTGGCGCTGGCCTTGACACCGCCTGCTACCCCTCCTCCTCCTCCTCCGGCGGCGCCGTTGTTTTTGTGGTGATGATTGTTGCTGCTGGAGCCAGTAACCTTGGTTGTGGAGAGGCAAAGCCCCATGGTCGGCGGCAGGGATCAGAGGATCGACAAACCAAGAAAGGAGAAGTCAGCGATTGAAGTATGGAAATTTGAGGTGCAGATCATGGAAATGTGCCCAATTGGAAAAGAGTGGCGGGCGTATATATTCAGAAACACGCTTGGAGATGATTGGGTTTCTGGTTTATTAGTTTTTGTTTTAAGAAGAAAAAAAAAAAGGCAGGAAGAGGAAACGGAGGAGGAAGAGAGCAGGAAGAAGGGAAGAAACGGTGGTGCTGCTGGTGGTCAAAATACGACCTTTCCTTTCCTTTACATTCTTGTTTTTTTTTTTGTTTATTATTCTCTACTTAAATTATTTTGACACGCGATAAGTGCAGGTTCTGTTTGTAATTTGTTACTTCTTTTCACAGTTTCATAGACAGAATTAAAAAATAATAATGATTTTCCTCAATAGGTTATTTATTCTAACTAATATCTGATTATCTGCTGTTAATCTCGAGAATTAAACAATAAAACAAAAGACTAATATCTGTTTTTAATTCAACAGATGATGTTATTATAATAATTTAATTGCTGTAATGGAACTGCTGCTGAGTTGCATATTCGTTGCTTCTTCTTTCGTTCTAACTACTCCATGACTCCATCAAACCAAATTTTAATTAAAAAATCTCAATTTCGTTTTTAATTCTTAGGAAAGAATTCCCATTCTAAAGAAACGTTTTTTCTTCCTCCGCAAGTCTAGGAGCAACGGGAACAACAATTGTGTGTGCTAGGGTTTTCGCTTCAACTCATGCCGGCGGTGGCTACGCCTCTGGCCTAAGGGGGCCTCCCGCCTCTTCTTTAGATAATCTAGCTGGTCAACGAAGGCCTCCATCTGCCTCATCCCTCCCCGGATCCCAAGGGTGATAGGGAAGCTCAGTAGAGCTAAAAAGGGCCAAACAAACGGTTCAGGGGATACAACTTGATAGTGATTATGATGTTGTTTTGGAGGACGCACCGGTGACGGAGGAGAAGCGTATTGGATCAGGAAGCCCACCAGCGTCGGCCTGGACGTCTAGTACAGGAGCAGCACGTCGACTTTTCAGCGAACTGTTGAAAAACTGACGAGTGGTACATAGCCGACTCAGATTCAGAGGATGTTGCGGCGGCCATCAGAGAAGATGGAATGGAAGATGGAATGGAGAAAGATGACGACCCTCTTTGCCCTAATATTCCCTTTACCGCAGCAGAAGAGCGCCAATACTGTAGGAAGCTTCGGTCATCCCTTGTCGTCAAAGTGCTGGGTCGTTCTTCGTCCTTCACAGTGTTTTCTCGGAGATTAGACTCCCTTGTGGAAGTGTCCTCATCCGTGAATAACTTATAGCATTCCCTGGATTCTTCGTATTTGAGAATAGGAGCTAGCTTGCTCATGTTGTGTTTCTTCGTCTTGTCTTAAATTCTTCCCTTGGGGTATCTTTCTTCAACGATGAACCTTCTAAGTTCCCTTCTATTTCTCTTGGCTTGTTGAGAGAGACTTTGAACGACTCTTAAAAAGTCCTTTTAAAAGGAAACTTTCATTTCCCGGTCTCTTCTTAAGCTTGCAAGAATCATCCATACCTTCAACTCTTCTATCTTGAGAATCAACATGAGAGAACATATTGAACCATTCTATCTCGGTGCTTGAAGGTGGTGTGACCGGTTCACAATCCATCTTCACATCTTCCCATTTGTAGTACTTGTGAAAATTGGGGGTTGGAGTTATCTTGTAGCTTATCTCCTTCTCTGCAAACCTTAAGGTGATTTTTCTCCCACCCACATCGATAATGATCCTTGACGTAGCTAAGAATGGCCAGCCTAGGATTATCGATGCATCATATCCTTCCATGTCGAGAACCACGAAGTCCACAAGATAAAAAATGACCACATTTCACCAAGATATTTTCTATGATTCACCTTTGCTCGACAACGGACCTATTGACTATCTCAATCCACATTTTAGTAGGCATGAGTGATCCAAGGTCCAACTCATTATATATTCTTGTAGGCATAATATTGATACTAGACCCCAAAATCTGCTAGCGGATTCCAAAAAGTTTTGACTCCGAAGGTGCATGGAATATTGAAAATTCACGGATCTCTTAGCGTTGGAGGGAAGCCTCACACCCGATGGATGCTGAAGCAACTACACTAATGGAGACCATAGAGACTTCTTCCAACTTCCACTTTCTTGACAATATCTCTCTCAAGAATTTGGTATATTTGTGAATTTTCATAACCATGTCTAAGAAAGGAACGGTTACCTTAAATTGCTTCAAGATATCCTTCCATAAAGCACATTCATGATTTAAATAACTTTTGAATATACGTCTAGGACAAGGAGCATTTGGTGTTGAATTAGGTACTTGAGTCTTCTTATACTTCTCGACACCTTCAATCTTGATTTCAATCGACGGTTGCACTTCTTCTTGCACAACTTCTCTTTGAGCCTCCCTTACCGATATCCTTGAGGTTGGAATAGGAACTTCCTTTAAAGGCCGGCCACTCCCTAGAGTTACCGCATTACACCCCTGTTTAGGATTAAGTTTGATATTTTCCGGTAAGGTTCCTTGTGGTCTTGACGATAGAGTTTGTGAGCTTAGCTGAGTTTCAAGATTTTGAAGAAAAGCTTGTCGATTCATTTGACCCACTTCCAGACTCGAGAAATTGGTCGTAGTGCTGCTCCCTATGAACTTTTCAATAGCCTCAAACTTCTTGTTGGTGTTTGTAACAAATTGACCTACCAAGTCTTAAAGTTTAGAGAATCAACCATCGGAGGGTCGACCTTGATTTTGATAAGCTCCTTGGTATGATGGTTGACTCGGCCTTGGATAAGCATTGTGCATAGGAGTTTGAGATTGAAATGTCGGAGGCTTTCTATCCGTCGGAGAAGACCAAAGAAAGTTGGGATGGCTTCTACAACCAGGATAATACGTAGAGCTATATGGGTTGTTCCCTCGTGATTGCCCTTCAACAAATTTGGCTTACTCAAACTGAAGTGAGGCCTCAATCATAGACTTACACTCCTCCATAGCGTGTCTCGACTCACCACACCAAGCATATTTAATGAGTTGCTTTCCATTGACTTTCATAGATGATGCAACTTGATAAATTTTCTTGGAGAGTTCTTGTATATGGGCCGCCAACGAAGATGGTTCTTCAATATTCAATAAACTTCCCTTCTTCACACTCTTACCTCTTCTTCCGTTACCCCCCAATCGTAGCTATTTAGGGCCATCTCTTCAATTAGTCTTTGAAGTTCACCAACTTTCTTGTTCCTGATGGCACCTCCACTAGATGCATCGATGAGGTTCTGTGACCCCCTTGTCAAATTGTTATAAAAGCTTTCCACTTGCAACCAATTGACAATACCGTGGTGTGGACATTTGAGTAGAAGTTATCTAAACCTTTCCCATGCTTCAAAAAATGGCTCATCTTCCTCTTGACGGAACATTGTAATCTCGCTTCTCATTAAAGATGCCTTATAGGGTGGAATATACCTTGCGAAGAACATGTCACATAGATCTGACCAGAGGTGATGGAGTGATGGGGATGGTTAATCAACCATTGCTTTGCCGCTCCATTTAAATTAAACGGGAATAATCTCATACGGATTGCCTCTTGAGGAACCCCGTTTATCTTAATTCCATCCATCAACTCGTAGAAAGACTTGATATGTGTGTGGGCGTCTTCACACATCATCCCATTGAATTGAACTGCACTTTGAAGCATCAAGATTGTGCCCGGCTTAATCTCATAGTTGTTGTCCGGCACTGGTGGGTGAAGAGTAGGGGATTGAACACTATCCACACTTGCACTTGAATATGATCCCATTGTTCTAGGCCTTGGTAGAACTTGAGGTTGATGTTGTTGGCCTGCCATTGGAGGAGGTTTAGGTCTTGCAACTCTTCTTAGATTTTGAAGGGTTCCCTCGATTTCTGTATCAAGAGGTAATATCTCCAAATAATCCCTTCTTCGCATACAAGAATAATAAAAACATAAATAATGAAAATAAAGGCTAAACTAACAACTTGATGGTTTTCTATTTGTTATCGAGGTTTCCCGGTAATGGCGCTAAAAAGCTTGATCGATTCATTTTGTGCAGGTTATTGCCAGTAGTTTGCACGTGTTAATAACTACCCTATTCTAAGCCAAGTTCAACCTAAAGTGGTGTTGTCATATACTGTCAATCAATGTTGTATTCACTCGGGTCCCGGTACCCTAGCATAATTTCCACGTTGTTGTTATCCAGCCGATCGGTTTAAGGGGTTGTGTTGGAGGATTGGAGTAAAATACTAGTAGAGAGAATAAACAAGGATAAAAGCATGTACATCGGGGAACTAACCCTTGCACTAGCCTAGGTCTATCATATAAATGACTAAACATGTTGGGTTAAGCGATTTTGGTTAAAGAGCTCTTTTTCGTGGGTCTGCGTGATTATTCACACACTTCCGAGTACACCCTACCTACCCCATTGTCACCTCGGTATAGGCTTATGTATATGGGTCTTTAAGAACTTATCTCATTTCAATGGGTACTACCCACCGTCCACACTGAGGTTTCATCCTGGGTTCCATCTAAGAAGGTGTTCTTGTGCCAGGGGTACGGTCACCTTGTCCACCACGAACCCTATTCATTTCATCTAACCCTAATCTGCCAGATGGCACATACCTGTCTAACCCTAAAACTCCATACCCAACGTAGAAGCTCAAGTAAGCTAGTAGAGAAGATTAAAGCGACTTACCCAAGCACAATTAAAGTAGATGAAACATTAAAATAAACTAGACAAACCAAGGTTGTCAACCCGCAGGTTGACCCAGACCTGGTTGAGCTAGTGGGTCAAGGGTTAATGGGCCACCCGTTTTAGCCCAGAAATATGGAAAGCGTCATTATATTGTACTTATCCTGATAAATTATATCAAATCTCATCTAACATATGAGTTATAACATATAATATTACACCAAAATAACATTTCGTACTTAGATTCAACATATAGTGAAAATTCACACACACTTATATAACATTAATATTCAAATGTTCAACTTAGGATTCCAAAGATTGAGTTAGGCGAAAAGAAAAATCGGAAAGTAGGCGCATTTCGCAAAACAAAGAAAAGAATGACACAATTTGACCTCCAACCCGGTACCTTATAACGGTCGACCCGGCGGGTGCGTGCGGCCCGTTTTTCTCACCGGTTCAGGGTCAATGTGGGTCAACCCGCGGGTTGACAACCTTGAGACAAACACATTCATTCAAAAACTTAACTTATTCATTCATTACATAATAACCCTAAACTAGTGTTTGAGATTTAGAACTCCTAGTACCTTAAGAGACTACTCCATAAAGGAGAGAAGAAGATACATAGAAGACTTTGGGGAAGACTTGATGTTGAAGAAGATGACTCCTCTCTTCTAGCTTCTCCTACTTCTCCTCTTCTCCTTCCTTCAACTTCTCTCTCTTCTGTATCTCTCCCAGAATCAGAAATTTCTATTTCAAAATAAACTCTGTCAAAATGGGGGAGAGGTCCTCTACTTATAGACTTCAGGGGGACAGACATGTTCGCGGCCGAGTAGGGGAAGATCGTGGTCGTGATCTTTTCCTTCGAGACCGCCATCTTCAAGCGTCACCGTTTTGGTCTTCGTCTGGTGAGAGTTCGTGGGCTGACTTCACGGTCGCAATCAGTGGGTTGCGACCGCGAACTTCTTTGTGGTAAGGGAAGACGCTAACTGTGATCTGACCATCGAAAGTTTCTGTTCCTTCTCGGGTGGCTTCCTCACGAAGTTCACTCCCAAGGGGTACAAGTTCGCGAGAGTGAACTATGGTCCTTAGGCCGTGATCTTTTCTCCTTTTCGGGTCTGATGTCTCGGCCGAGATCTTCCACGTCCAGGTTGTGATCTTCAGCTTCGTGCCATTTTGCTACACTTGTGCCTTTTTCGTACCTAATTCACATATATTGACTAAAGCATCCTAAAATCACGATTGACATAATCAAATAGGAATGAAATAGGGATGCAATTGATGATACTCTTATGATTATGCACATGAATTAGCACGAAACAAACCTAAATATGAATGGCAAATAACACCAATTTAGCTGTTATCATAGACATCCTCAACCTAGACCAATATGTAAAATGTAAAAAGTTTAGGAACTAAAATGGCCGAATGAAAACTTTTAGGCTCCAAAACATACTTTTCCAATGGTATTTTTAGTATAAAAAAATAAATTTTAGGTACTAAAATTGTAAAAATTAAAAATTCTAGCTACTAATCTATAATTTGGCAATGATCCATAAATCCACCAATCCAATTGAATTTGTATAAAATGGATTGGATTTAAATAGATTTGATTTGTTGGATTTTTTTTGTAGAAATTAGTTGAATATTTTTAATGGATTGGTGGATTGAATTAGTGAATTGGATTAAGAATTGTCACCTCAACTTTTAAGAAATGCACCTCTCGAACCATTCCTTTTGTTTAGAATTACTGATAAAGTTAATGAGTGTAGAAAGATAATTCAGTTAGATCATTGTGAGTCACATCGTACACAGTCCATAATAAATTGTGGTCAAAATTGCATAGTAGGTTATGTGATTTGATTTTCCAAACCCAATTAAATTACAGCCCAACAAATAACGCAATCCAATTCATACACGATACAATATAGTTTGTATAAGTTGTATCCCACATTGCCCTACAAACCATGGCATTTTGGGAGGCGGTCCTTTGCGGTGAGATTAAGGCACGATTTTCTGATTGAAGGCTAAATCATGGGTGAGACGTTCTAGAGAGAGAAAATGACGAAGAACAAACCCTAGGAGCTATTTTGACATCCCAGAGCAGTTTTTCCCCATCTTTATGAGTATGACTGCTTCGATTTCTGTTTTCCTCTCTCTCTCAATGGAGTAGACCTTTCTCTCACTGTGTATGAAGAACTAGTTCCTTGTGTTAGGGATCTTGATTGTAATGACTTTTGGGATGATATACTGATTGATTTTAATCGATTGAAGTGTGTTTATTGAGTCAATTGAATCCTGATCAACTTCTTTTGATTTCTGCTTCAACCTGTGATAGATAGAATCTGAATAGGTTGTTAGAGCTTCTTCGATCGATAGGATTGAATTGATTGTACGAGAGTTAGTCAATTCGCTGCTGTGTACTGGAATTTGTTTCCAGTAGTGGAGTTTTGTGTGAATCGCCTTAGTAGTCTATTCCGGTGTAAGCTAGTCGCCTGCCGGGTAGTCTGTCTAAGAGGGCTTGGTCAGCTTAAGAGATTCTAAGATATTTTCGGATCTTCCGCAGTCTAATCAACAATGAATCAACCAAAGGGAATTACAACTTGAACCTAGCTAAGGAGCTAGGCGGACTCATTCCCGAGTGACTATTCTCTTGCTTTAGAAAACCAGACAATTTACTGTTTTCTTTCTTCTTTAGTTTAAACTCATTTTCACTCGACTTTCCTTGCTAGATAATAGATAATCACGAAGTAGGCAGTACATTTAGGCTTCGGGTTGACATTTATTACTTGATTCCACTATGCTGCATTTCCATTCTACAATTACACTTGGTCGCAGTTTGGTTTGTGTCGTAGCGAGTCACGCTGCGATCTTCAGCTTCCTGCCATTTTGCTACACTTGTGCCTTTTTTTGTACCTAATTCACATATATCGTCTAAACCACCCTAAAATCATGACATAATCAAATAGGAACAAAATAGGGATGCAATCGATGGTATTCTTCTAATTATGCACACGAATTAGCACGAAAGAAACCTAAATATGAAGGGCAAATAACACCAATTTGGGTGTTATCACGGATGTTGCTTTTAAGTAGAGGTGGCAAATAGATTGGATTGATGGATCCGCATATCAAATTGATTGGATCAAGTGGATTGGTTGATTATCCATGAATCCAAATGACATATTCAACCTTGGACCAATAAGTAAATGTGAAAGTTTAGGTACTAAAATGCCATAATGAAAATTTTTAGGTACCAAAATATAAGTTTCCAATAAATTATTAGTATAAAAAATAAATTTTGGGTACCAAATTAAAATGTAAAAAATAAATTTTGGGTACCAAAATGTAAAAAAATAAAAATTCTATGTACTAATTTATAATTTGGCATTGATCCATGACTCCACCATTACAATTAGATTTGGATAAAATGGATTGGATTCAAATAAATTGGATTAGTTGGATATTTTTAATGGATTGGTGGATTGAATTGAGAATTGCCACCTCAACTTTTAAGAAATGCACCTCTTAAACCATTCTTTTTGTTTATAATTACTGATAAAGTTAACGAATGTAGAAAGATAATTCAATTAGATTATTGCGAGTTAGATCGTGCACAATCCATAATAAATTGTGGTCAAAATTACATTGTAGGTTATGTGATTTGATTTTCCGATCCGAACCCAATTAAATTACAGCCGAACAAATCATACACGGTGCAATATAGTTTGTATAATTTGTGTCCCACATTGCCATACAAAACCAAGGCATTTTGGGAGGCGGTCCCCCGCGGGTGAGATTAAAGCACGAATTTCCTTCAATCCGGACGTTGATATATAGAGAGCTAGGTGGGGCCATGAGCACGAAGATAATGAAGTGAAAACACAGACTTTTATTACCAGTCCAGACATAAGAGCGAGCAACACCCAAGCATGGGAAAAGTAGGTAACATGGGGGCAAGGGGGATTCCGTCATGTCAAATTAACTATAGCCTAGCTTAATAATATTGGCATCATCACTCAGGCAAGAATCTGCTCCAAAGGCTTGGTTTCGAGTTTAGGCTTTTGAAGTTTAGCAGCCTCCTCATCAGCTGCGGCGATTTCCAGGGCCTTCTCCTTGGCAAGCTTCTTCATCCTCGACAGCTCAAGGTCTTTGCTCATCTTCCTCCGGTACATCTCGGTGAAGGTGATTGGCTCCTCCAACACAGGTTTCTCGCCATCTCTGATCTTCAACGGGTAAACGGTCGCCTCAGGAGCTGGGTTCTGGAACGTGGCAATGGAGAGGCGGCTAGAGTTTGAGTTCACCACTGCCTGGTGGTCGGCGTTCTTGAACCTCCCGTTGCTAAGAAACTGCATGCATCCATCTCATCATCAAACAACCTCCTCTACTAGAGGCCATCATTGTTGTTACTTCCTCTTTCCTTTTTGAAAATTATATCTACTTCTGGTAACATATATAGTTTCCCTCTTTCACATCAAACAAATTAAATTAAATGCTTCTATATATAACAGTGCAAATTATAGTATAGCCAAAATGAGTGGAATGGGAAACATGCACCCTAAAAATGCTTTTCAAGAAAACAGCTTGGAGGGAGAGTGGATAGTGTACATACGTGGCCGTGATCCCCGAGATTGACGACGAAAGCTCCTTGGATGGGTTGAACGGTGATCCAGGTGTTGCCGTTATCTCTGGTCGCCTGGAGGCCGCCGACCTGGTCCTGCAGCAGAAGTGTAATGGTGCCCGGATCCGTGTGGCGCTTGAGGCCGAGGGTGAGGTCCGGCTGCGGGCATTTTGGGTAGAAATTGACCACCACTTTCTGGTCCATGTCCACGCACGCTTTGGTCAGCGCCTCCTTTTCCAGCCCCATCGCCTCCGACAGAACCTCCAGCAGCTTGCAACCCAGCCCCATCAGCTTCTCGCTGTATTCCTCCGTCACCGCTCTCCACGCAGCCGGCTTGTCCGGCCACAGCGAGTAGTCCCGGTTCCGGATCGGGTACGAAAAGTAGGTCACTATCTCACGCCAATCCTGCACCGCTTCTCCCTGCACATATATGTATATGTTTTGTGGCTAGTTAGTTTCTTAAAAAGTGTCGCTCGCTCGCTCGCAATGAACGTTTCATCCGATTTTCTATATATCACAAAATTAAAATAAATACCGGTCCCTGCTGCGTTAATTCAATTCCTTTTTTATTTTATGTAGCGGCAGCGGCGATAATTAATTAGAAAAAGCCAGAATTAGGAATGCAAAAGGACGGACGGATATTGATAGAAAACCTGCAGATGGCTGGACACGATGAAGCCGCCCTTCTTGCCGCCGGACATGTCGAAGCGGAGCTTCTCGTCGGGCGGCAGGGAGAAGAATTCACGAGCGAGAAGGGTCATGTCGGATATGAGTTTGGCGTCGATGCCGTGATCCACCACCTGGAAGATGCCCCAGTCCTCGCACGCCTGGACGATCCGCCTGCACACGGCGGCTCTCTTCTCCCCGTCGTCGTCCATTCCGGCGAGGGAGATGACGGGGATGTCGTCGCTGAATTGGTTGTAGGCCACTTTGGGACGCTCATCCTCGTCGCGGATGAAGCTCGCCTCCACCGTCTTCTCCTCCGCAAGACCCGTAAGCGTTTTCGGTGGAGCGTCCATCCCTCACGAAAAGAGCGTGCGTGGTGTTCCCTTCTTTCGTTTTTTTTTTTTTGTATGTGCTGTGCTTTCTGTCTTTTTCCTGTGCGGTTTTGTTTGTTTCTTAATTTTTGTGTTTGGGTTTGGAGGGGGGTAAAGGAATGAGGCTAAATAGGGAGGTGAAACAAATAAAGAGAGGATTAAAAAACGGGGATGGGAGTGGTAGCTAGCATTAGCATTAGCAAGATTGCATCATTCATCCATTCGTACCTAACTGCCTACCACAACCCTCTCCTCTCCTCGTGTGGTGCTTACGGGTAGATCACACCAAACTGCCCACGCCCTCGTGTCTCACTTACCAAATTCTAACTCCCGCGCGCCCGACTCTGCTATTACGTAAACGCACACCACTTCTTATAACTAACTAATTTATTTAAAACAACTAATTATGACAGTAGGAATCCCGTATACCAAACTAGCTAGGAGCATGGTAAACCAGCGGCAAAGCTGCGTTACTCCACAAGATTGCCATAAACCTATCATCTCTCCTACCGCCATCCTGTCTCCTGCAAATTCTCACTTTAATTGACATTTTCTTTGCTAGTAAAATACTCGTTTAGTCACTTGTATTGTCAAATTCTTTTATGTTATGTCATCCAAAATCCGTTTCTTTCTTACTAGCTACTTATTTTACAATTCGTTTCATTTTTGGTTACTCGACGTCCAACTACCTTAAGTTTATCTTATATTGCAATTAACTACAATCTTTGACTGTTAATTAATTGGTCACCTATCAATTAAAAAATAATAGAAGATCAATTAAAAACAACACAATTGATAGAGCAAAAATTAATAACAACCAATTAAAAGGCATTGATAACAATTTTATATTCTTTCAACAATAGCGTTCAGTGCTCCTCTTTCTCTCTTATGTTGCGTCGTCACGGCGAGCTCCGCCGAGTTATTCGTCAGCAAGAAGGATGGATTGACTGTTCCCAGTCGAAACTCCAAAGACGAACAATGTAAACTTTGAAAGTGCATAAGTAATAAAGAAACACAACAAGTTTTACGTGGTATCATCATTCTAGAATGAACGAGAGTAATCCACGGTGAGCTCGAAAGAGCTCACGACTGACATCTCTTTTATTCTTTATGAGCTTGAATACAAGATTGATGATTGATGGCAAGTACACACGCATAGCCTTTATATAGTGATGACTAAAGACTGAAACCCATATTCCCTATTTCTCCACGTAACTTAGGGAACAAGAAGAAGAATAAAAAGATCATGTACGTGTATGACAAGGATACTAATCCAAACACGAAACTACTCACAATACTACCCCTCAAGCGCAAGCATGAAGATCTAACATGCCAAGCTTGGACAAGAGATGTGTGAAATGGTCAACACTGAGTCCTTTAGTGAACACAAACAAAGTAACAATCCATTTCAACGTGCTTGGTCCGCTCATGGAACACGGAATTAGGTGCAATGTGTAAGAAAACTTAGTTGTCACATAAGAGAGGAGTAGGACGAGCTTGTGGAGCACCAAGGTCGCGAAGAAGCCACCAGAGCCAGATGATCTCACTAACCGAAAACTAAATGAGCAACGTTCAGATGATCTAGGGTAGAGCACGAACGACCTGGTTGAGAAGATTGACAGTATAGGTGATACCAGGGAACATGACCATGAGATAAAGTAGCCTGCCAACTAGACATCGAAGGGCAAAGGGATCAGGCACGGGAGGTAATTCAATGCGTCGAACTTGATGATTTTGCTCGATCGATGAAGCACAAGGACGGGTGGCCTGAAGCCCTAAGTCTGCCAGAATATCCAGTACGTACTTCCATTGGCTAAGCACAACGCCTTTAGGAGACCGAGCAACCTCGATGAAGAGATAGTGCTTAAGGGAGTCCCAGTCCTTGACTATGAACCAATCATGCATGAAATATTTGACATGCTGGATGAAAGCAAGGTCATCACCAACCAGAATTACATCATCGACATAAATGAGAGTAGCCACATATGATAAAGAGAACGATCTGCATGACTCTTTCGAAAACCAAACTCCACCAAGGTAGTTGAGAATTTTTTGTACTAGTTACGGGAAGCTTAAATGCATGAGTGTCACCGGGTTCAGCGAAACCTTGAAGAACCTTCATATAGACTTCTTCATGCAAGTCACCATTAAGGAAGGCGTTGTTGACGTCCAGTTGATAAATAAACTAGTTCTTGGTGACTACAACAAGAAGCAGATGATGAACAGTGATGAGCTTAGCGACAGGAGCGAAAGTATCATGGTAGTCAATACCATCTACCCGAGTGAACCCTTGGCTACCCGAGTGAAAACCTTTAATTGATCCATCTTGGACATATTTGACCTTATAACTCATTTTTCACGCTTACCAGGTGTAAGAAAAGTAAAGGTCCACATACCATTTTCTTCGAGCATCGAGATTTTAACATGCATGGCAATGCACCAATGTAAGAGGCAAACAACATGATTAAAATATTGAGACTCAAAGACATTTGTGACACTACCAACAAAGGCACAGTGAGCTGGAGAGAGGAGATAGTAGCTCACATGGTTTGCCATGGGGTACTAGACATGATGATTTGTTGAAGTTCATCGAAGCTGAACATCACAGGCATCAAGATTCTTGGGCGGATGATGCACTCGATCACCGCGTCATAACGAAGCAACAATTGGCTCATGAGACGGGGCAGAGCATCCAAGCATGAAGGGACGAGTTTCCATCATGATGAGGGGTAGGACAAGCATCATCCGTGGGGGTAAATCAGCGGTAGTAGCGGAAATAGAGATTCTATGAAACACCCTAACCCGGCCGGGTACTACTTTTACTAAAATGCCCTTGATAAATAAAATGCTCAAATCTTAAATTGCAGAGGGAAAAATTTTCATAAATAAAATACCGAAAACACACACTTGTAGTTCAGAGCAAAGCCCTAACACGTGGGCAAATTAAATTCAAACTTTAAAATCTCAATCTGTTCTCCCGTCTATACTCATAATCATAAAATGTAAATAACTAGGTAGTCTATGTCGTTGCTGCTACTGAAAATCTTGACTAAGCATCCTCTGTGACGCTTATACTGCCCTCCTCTAGCTGCCTGCCCTCGAATTCGCTGCTCATTAAATGCTCCTCTAGCTCTTCAAACTGGTGAGTGAGATGAGGTCAGTCTACGCCCTTAAGTTTAAAATTCTTACTGCTTAGTACTTTACTTAAAACACTTACTTAAATTTGTGGAAGTTGTTTGTACTTCCACTCTTAAAACTGTATGGGAGTTACTGTTACTCTCCATTCTTAAAGCTCAAATCTCGACTTACATACTTGACTGACATTGGGATCCCTCACTAGCTAGTCTGGTTGCCAACTCATACTGTAGACACCACATTTTGTCCGGGATAATTGTTTTATTGAAAATAAATATTGTCACGTCATACTACAATTATTTAAAAAAAAAAGAAGTTGAAGATAGTTTGGTTGAGACTAGCAGTTGCAAGTCAATATGAACCAACAATTGTCAAATTTGCTCCTAGTCGATTCTAGGGCATAATTAACAGTTAAATTAAGATTAGCAGTGGCAAATCTTAAATATAAGTTCTCAATTGGATGTGCAAAGTTTGTTGTACACTTTGGATTTGACATTTGAAATGAGACAAATTGAATAGTGGAATGAGCTTTATTATCAAATATTCAAAGTTTATACATCATACAACTTGGAAAATGACCTCCAAATAAAGCGAGAATTAGAAATAATTACAATAAACTAATTACAAATTGAAGTGATTGCCTTCCTACTTTGAGCCCAAACAATTCGTGCACCTGCAAAAATAAAAAAGGAAAAACAGATTAGTTTTGGCCCAAGTGCAAGACTGGATCAAGCCCATTTCGAGCCCAAAACCGGATCGCAAACAACTCCAGGCCCATTTCGGCCAACTCGGCCCAAAATCATATGCCAACCCTATCTACACCCTGACCATGTCAGAACCGTCCAAGTGAGGTGTAGCTCCCAAACGCAGCCTCAAAATCAGCCAACCAGAATTGGGCAACGAGGCATAATTTTTGCTATTAATTGAGCTCTCTGGGCTCACTGTTGGGGGGGACGAAAAGGAGAAAATACACTACAGAAACATAAAATTGGAAGACTTTCTGGTTCTTTCTTTTTGGAGAAGTTCATTCCAGTTCGGAGGTTTGAGAGGTAGGAGCATAAAGCAGGGATTCTTAAGAGTCAGAAATCCCAACAAGGTTAGTGTTCGTAATCTAGATCTTCGTTTTACTAATAATCCATATGCTTTGTTGCTTATCTCTATCAGCTTTATTTACTTAATTGAGCTCGTTTAAGTTTATCCATCGGTTCAGTTTCTATTTTAGCAATATACTACTACCGCAATCTGCATATATGCGATTTATTTCAATTGAGCACAGTTTATGCAGCAATAAACTTGTACCCCCTGTCTAAATCCGTTTGCTCAAGTTGCCATCATTAGCCTAATCTTTTGGTAAAGATCATGTTAAACTTTAATCAAATTTCAATTTCTTTTAAGAACATATAGCTCAAACCAACACACAGCTTTCAATCGCCAAGATTTCATATACAGAAACAAATATGATTTTAGTTTTAAAACCAAATCCAACAGAAACACCATAAACACACTAAAACTTCAGATTTCAAACCCATAAATCAACCATAGCCGAATAGAAATAGAAGCTAAAGTACAGTTCATAATAACATTATAAACCCAAAATTTTTAGATTCAAGAACTCTTGCCAATTCTTTTAAATCACCCAAAACTTTAATCTGACTAAATCGCACAGTAGTAGCAGTGATGTAGAGTCGAGGGTGGTTGTTACCATTTGCATTACAACAATTAATTTCTTTTACTACTTAGGTTAGGCGAGAGAAAGATATTTAAGTTTCAAGCTTTAAACTTAATGTAACCAAAATCGCGTACATCATCAAAAGCACACATGTATAGTTTTTTTTTGTTGTTAAAAACTAGTCTAATTTTTAGACTTTGACCTGTCAGATCCAAAACCCAGGATCTGCCGAAACCAAATCCAGATTAGCAAGCAATAAAAGATAACTCATTAAAGCATAAAATGCCAAGACCGTCTTCCATA